ATAGATCCATCGTGAAATTGATCTAAAGGGAGAGCGCTGGTAGCAGTGTCGATGGCAACAACAGTAGAGGAGACGACAACTATGGCATAGGTGAAGTGATGAGATCGGGGAGAAAGAGAGAGAGAAAGGGAATAGAGAGAGATAGTGGTGGGATTGGAATAACAAAGGCAAATAAGCTTAAGAAGAGAAACAACAATGAACGGGGCTGAATTGGAAGAGAAAGTGATATCGAAGAAGAAGGTTGAGTTTGGGGCTTTGGAGGAATGAAAGAGAGCAGCGAGAGAGAAACACACAGAGCGTGAGATATATATCAAATTTCTCTGTGATAGATGGGAGGGATCTTAGACATCAAAAAATAATATTGTGAATCTCTTCCATTACTAAAAATGAGAGAGGGACTTTAGACTAATTTTCTTTAAAAAATATTAGAAGAGCAAATTAAATTTTCTTAATTTGATAAGAAAATTTCTGTGAGTTACCAACTGTCATTAATAAATAACAAATTATAGAAGTATGTCTATCGATAGACGTATAAAAGTATATGTAAATAAATAAATAAAAATGTGCAGTATAAAATTATGTTAAAGTTTGTGATAATATATATATATATATATATATAAGGTGCATTGAGATTGTGACTACTTTGATATTTTATTTTGTAACGATTGACTACACTTGTTAATAAGTTTGAATTACTATACATTTTTATTTTGTTGGATAAATTATAATTACATTTTTTGAGGTTTACTTAAATATGAATTGTCTCATGTAATTTTAAAATTATAAATATTTTTTTGTCAAAATTTTTTATTTAACATAATTAATAGAAAATATTAGAATTGTTAATTGAAATATATTTCTAATATCATTAAAAATTATTGATTTGATAATTTATTAATAAAAGAGTTCATTTGTTATGTGATGGAAAAATTTGTAGGGACAGGATGTAATTTCCAGAATTATAAAGAATAGTTTATATTTTAAACAAATTTTAAGAAATATATTTATAATTTATTATTTTCTTTTAATAAAAGGGAATATCATTAAGGATGTAATATTATTTTTGACTTTGTTAATCAATACACACTTGTTACCATCAAATATATAATTGGACTATGCTGTGTGGTCCAATCATCTATATATTCTAATTGATGGTGGAGATTAATATTTGCTGATTAGCCCACAAAAAATAGTTTAATACATAAGACGATAAGATCATTCATTCCCCTATTGTCTTTTGAAAAGAACCCAAAGGAAGGGTTCTGCCTATTTCATATTTGAGATTAAGATTGGACCATTTAATTTAATTTATGAATTTATTTTGGGTTCTGTTTTGATAATTCAAATCGTTCAATATGTAAAACTCGTCAAATACTATATTTATGTAAAAAATCACGTTGAATCGAATATCAATAGCTATTTGATCGTATCAAATTTGTATAAAAAAATAGATGATGAAAAAATAAATGAATCAAATAGCTATCGATATTCGATTAAAGTGATTTTTTTGTGGGGATATAATAGTCAAAAGTTTTACATATTGAACGGTTCAAATTATCAAAATAGAATCCAAAAATAGATCTATGGACCTGAAAGGTCCAATCTTGATCAAACATGAAAAAAGCTGGACAAAAAACAAAACACCCATCACTTTCTACTTTTTCTTTCTCTCCTTTTAAGGTAGAAAAATTATGAATTTGTAAAGATAGAAACTTCTTATATTTTAACCCATATTTCAATTCCTTTTCTTTTCTTCATATATATATATATAGATATATTTTTTTTTTTTGCATTTATATATAAGTTTTAATTTATGAACTTATCAATTCATTAAGTTCTAACTAAAATTTTTTATATATTTAAGTCTTATCAAATTTTTAATAGTTAGAATTGCCTTTCAAACAATGATTATTTATCATTTATGATTATTTATAAAAGAATATGATGATTTGACATTTATTTTGATTTTTTAAACTTTAAAATATCAATTTTCAATTTGAAAAAATTAAAAAAAATATATGTGCAAAAAAAAAACAAAAAATCGAATTATTTTTTGTATAAAATTAAAAATTTTGTATCTATACATATGATAGAATATTGATGTGCAAAACTGGAAAAAAAAATAAAAATTAAATTTTAAAAATGAAAAAATGATAATGTTCTTAGTTTTAAAATTAGAAATCATTGTTAATGTTTTCGGTTTTATTAGATAGTTGAATCAAACCAATAAGTAAAAGGGCAAAAACGTTTAATCTCATGCTCTGTTTTTTCATCAGTTAATGAAACAATTATCTAAAATATTACTATACAAAAATTGATAATTTTCTTTGTTTTAAAAACTGATAAAAACTAATAATATTCTCAATTTTACTAAATAGGACTTACTGGTTCAAAAAGTCTTAAATAGGATCTAAACTATCATAACATTTATAAATAAAACTTTTAGGTAATTAATTTTTTTTAAATAGTAATATTACATGTACAGAAACGTGCAAAGAAAAGTATAAAAAATAAATAAATGGTCTAAATTCACTTTAAACGTAATCTTCATCAATTTCAAGAAAAAAAAAAGTAATATTATACATAAAGGTCATGTTTGATTCACAATACTAATAGTGAGATATTAATAATCCTATCAAATTAGTGTGGTATTAACTATCCCATCCCTACCACATTACTAATAATCCTACAAATTTATTGGATTAATTATCCATTGGATTAATAGTCCTAAACCAAAATGTCAAAACAAACATAGGATGATTGGGCCCACGGATTAATAATCCTAATCCCATACTTTAATCCTTCCAATCAAACATGCTCAAATAGATTTCTCACTAAATTTTCTTATCATTAGATAAAAAGAAAATTCACATTAATAAATTCGTGTGGGACTCGTGTCTTGTGTCTAAGGAGTAAGAAAATCAAATAAGAAATATTTTTATGTATACCATTTTTCATTTCAAAATAAATCTATACCATATGTTAATTTTTTAAGACTGTTATATATCACTAGATTATTTTTCCAAAAATTTTCCCATTACCAGATTATTTTTCCAAAAGTTTTCACATGTAATTGTCAATAGTACATTGAAAACTTACATTAGTTGTGATAAGTGTAACATTGTTATTTTAAATATGGTAAGTCTTATTAATAATGCTAGGATGATCATGCCCTTTTACCATGTTTTATATGTTGCCTAGTGTGACACCCGCTCGTTGAATATAATAGATCCCATATGCACCAATGCTATAAAATTCAACCCTCCCAAAAAAAATCCAAAATTTTACCTAGAATTTGAATTGTGTGGAATCAACCCATAACACATTATGCTGTGTTTGATTGGGGGATTTGGAGAGAGATTTGGAAAGAAAAATTAAAAAAGTTTGTGAAATGTGAATAAAACATGTCTATATTTCACATAGTTTCACACACTTTTTCCCTTTTTCTTTCCAAATCCCTCCTTAAATCCTCAAACTAAACACAATATTAAAGTTTTATTCTGGCAATTCACCTACTTTTTAAGTAAATTCATGTCATAGTTTCTTGAATTATATCATTTATGATAGATCTCATTAATATTCAACATATAAGTGTGTCAGAGAATGTGGTATGCAATATATTGTAAAAGAAAGTGGTTATTAAGCATTACTTTGATTGCATTTGATACCTGTAACATAAATTGATGAAATAAATTCAGTGACAAGTAACACTTCTTTTAATTTTTTGTAATTTTATTTTTGGGTACGATGTCAATAAATCCACTTTTGTTCAAACAATATGAACAAAATACAAATTTTTATTAGAGTCAAAGTGTTTTTAATATCTAGTTCAATATTTTAGATCAATCAAAATTTGTAAAAGCATTACTATTTAAAATAAAAAATATTAGACTTTATTTTTAAATTCAGTGATATGACAATCAATTAAAATATTTAATTAGTGTGAAAAAATTTATTTTAGCTCTCTATTTAAACTCCGTTTGGCATGCCCATTTAGTCAAATTTAGTCATATATGACAAAATTAACTATTTAAATTCAGTGATATGACAATCAATTAAAATATTTAATTAGTGTGAAAAAATTTATTTTAGCTCTCTATTTAAACTCCGTTTGGCATGCCCATTTAGTCAAATTTAGTCATATATGACAAAATTAACTATTTTAATTAAATAGGACAAAATCTTACCTCCAAACCTAACTTTAATTTTTAAAAAACAATAGTGCTGGGACTTTCAATGGGGGTGACCCCAGCGTCCCCACCTCCACGTGGGACTCTCTGATTACCAAGGATCCTCTAGAGTGTTTTTTTCCTAAAGTTTTCTAAAGTGGTGTATTATGTGGTTGAGATTTAATGTTGAAAAATTAATATGACTTGTCATTAAATCTCAACCACATAATGCACCACTCTAAAAAATTTTAGAGAAAAAAAAACTCTAAAAGATCCTTACTCCTCTCTGATGGCAAGACGACGACGAAAAAAAAAAAATCAGCCAATGAAAGCAAACACAGTGCACAGAAACAAGGGAGAATAACGGTAACATATGGTTTGGAAGTTCCTTAAAGGGCAATTTGGGAATACCAAAATTTTAACGGAACTGTTTCTTAAAAAAAAGAAAACAAAAAAGCACAGTGATTAAAACGGTGAAAGACCTGAGTGGCTTTCAAGTGCATCCTCTCTGTCTTTCTTTCTCTACCTCCCTCGGTTCTAATCTTGACTTCTCTCTCTCTCTCTCTCTCTCTCATTCCTTTTTTCTCACTCACTGTCTCTGTCTTGTGCTTGCTCATCCATCAACTTTTTCCTGCTTTTCACCATTTCTTGATTCTTCAGCTTTATTTGCCTCTCTCCCTCTCTCTCTCTCTCTCTCTCATTGATTCGCTCAAATTCCATCACATTCAACGACCAAAACCCAAAACTCTCTCTCACTCTCTGGATTGATTCAGTTGATAACCCATTTGGAGATTTTGAGTAAAGAGCTGAGTTTTCAAGTGGGTATCAGCAATGGCGGCACCACCAAAACCAGAGGAGATAATACATCCTCCAATGGACCAACTTCAAGGCCTAGAGTACTGTATTGATTCAAACCCTTCTTGGGGTATGTAAATTTTAAGTTTTATCTCGAACCCATCATTTCTTCAGTCTCTGGTTGGTTTGTTTCTTGATGGGTTTGTTTTGAGTTTTTGCTCATTTCTGTCAATTTTTCCATTTGAAAACAGCGGAGGCAATAGCTCTGGGATTCCAGCACTACATCTTGGCATTAGGGACTGCTGTGATGATTCCTACATTTCTTGTCCCATTGATGGGTGGAACTGATGTGAGCCAATTCTCAACAAAAAAACAAAAAAGACCCAATTGTCTCTTCTGTTTATTTTCTGATTTTGTCTGTATCTGATCTCTCATTCAATCTTCAGTTGTTTGTTTGTTTATTTATTTATTTATAGAAAATGCTTGCGAGTGCATCTGGTACACTGATTAGTTTCGGGATGAATGTGAAAAGTGTCTTGACAATAGGTGAAAAAATTGTTTAGTTTCGGGATGAATGTGAAAAGTGCTTTGAAAATAGGTGAAAAAATGTTACATGGGTATTGTTTAATGTTAGGAGATGTGTAAAATTATTTTGGAATGGTGAAAAGATTAAAAAAGAAGTTTAAATTGAGTGAAAAGTTCTATGAACTTGATAAAAAATGTCATAAGTTCTAAATTTTATTTTGTTTTGTTTTTGTTGTCATTTTCTTGTGATCGGGTACTTGTTGGCGAGACCCTTATTAATTTATTTCTTCAATTAAGTATATATATGCTGATTTTCTTCCATTCATGAATTTTGTGAATCCTGTAGATTATAAAAGTTTCAACTTGTTCTTCAAAGTGTAATCTGTTAAGTTAATTCTCAATAGATAAATGATGAATCTTACAAAGCATATACCTATATAAAAAAGTGAGACCCATAAAGAAGAAGACTGTGAAGAATCAAAATTTGGAATTTTCTGAGAGAACTATGAATTCTATTTGATACTAACATGTGTTTTTGTAATTTTGATGCATGGGTCAGAATGATAAAGTGAGGGTAGTTCAGACTCTGCTTTTTGTTGAAGGAATCAATACATTACTACAAACACTATTTGGGACCCGATTGCCGGCTGTGATTGGAGGATCATGGGCATTCATCGTCCCTATTATTTCCATCATCCATGACTCTTCCTTGGCACAGATTGAAGACCCGCATTCGGTAAGTATATATCATTTCACATTTCACATTTTCAATTTTATTTTTTATTTTATTTTTTATTTTTTTTCTGGTGCAAATTTTTTATTTAACAAAGTTTAATTGCATTCTGAATGTATAAGTCAGTGTAGTAGATTCAAGCTTGATAATTGAACATGAAGAGTTGGCAATGACAATGTGATCATATGTGTCACTTCTATTAGTATCACTTGATCCTTGGTTAGAATACATTATATTCGGAAACATATTTAAAAATCTTATCATCAAGGTGATACTTTCTTAAATAGGTACCTAAATGACTTTCTTTTTTTATAAAAATGACGTTGTGGTAAGAAAAGTAGAAAAATGGGAATTCGATGGTTATGGGATTAAAATTGTTCTTAATTAATCCTAAATGCAAAAATTTATGATCTTTGTTTCTACTTCCAGAGATTTCTCAATACTATGAGAGCAATACAAGGTGCTCTAATAGTATCATCGAGCATGCAGATTATACTGGGATACAGTCAATTGTGGGCTATTTGTTCAAGGTACAACTTCAACATCAAAAACAATTATAGTTTCATAATTGAGAAGTAAACTTAATTATTTTTCACTTTGAAGATAACATGTGAACATTATATTATATAACTTCAGGTTTTTCAGCCCACTTGGAATGGTTCCGGTAATATCATTAGCGGGTTTCGGTCTATTTGATAGAGGCTTTCCAGTGGTATTGTAAAAATTTCCCAATTACAAAACAACTCAACTACTGTTTTTTTTCCTTTCCCTAACTCATACCATTTACTCTAATTCTACTAACTTTTTACAGGTGGAAGGTGCGTGGAAATCGGCATCCTAATCTGATTTTGTTTGTTGCCTTCTCCCAGGTGTTTTTATTAATCTGTGATTTAAGTTTAAAAAAATATGCGTTTAATCTTTCAATGAATAATAAATTTCAGTAATTAAGCATTTCAAGCATAAACAAATGTGAAGTAGCTTGAAGTAGCATAAACAAATATGTTGCTTAAATTAGGTTTGATTATAAAATTGTGGTATTGCTTAAATTTTATTGTATAAACGACATAATAGGAAGAAAGCAAGTGTAATTGTTGGGCTTGTTTTGTTTGACAGTATTTGAAACATTTCCAAACAAGACAACTGCCTATATTGGAGCGGTTTGCGCTTCTGATATCAGTCGCATTTATCTGGGCATATGCACACCTTCTGACAGCCAGTGGTGCATATAAACATCGGCCAGAGTTGACCCAAATTAATTGTCGGACTGATAGAGCCAATCTCATCTCTTCTGCACCATGGTAGGTAACAATATTTTGCTCATATATCATTGTTTCATGACTAAGAATTAAAAGTATAGAATAATTTAGGGGATTGAAAATTTTAATGTTGTATTGTTCTTTGAATTTTATTACTATGCAGGATAAAAATCCCATACCCACTACAATGGGGGGCGCCTACTTTTAACGCTGGTCATGCTTTTGGGATGATGGCTGCTGTATTAGTCTCCATGATTGAGGTAATTTTTTACAGATAAAAAAATCAATCAAGTATATTTTTATCAGTGATTAACACAAATATTCATATTGACAGTCAACTGGAGCGTTTAAGGCTGCATCTCGTCTAGCAAGTGCCACGCCACCTCCTGCTCATGTTCTTAGCCGTGGTATTGGTTGGCAGGTCTGCAAACTACTACACAAATTTTGAAATTTGGTGAAATAAAAAATAATTTGGTATTTGGTAAAAAGAAAAATAATTAACTCGTAATCCATGTTGCAATATATTGACACGAAACTTCATCATATAGGGAATTGGGATTCTTTTCAATGGACTTTTTGGGACAGTTACCGGATCTACAGTTTCTGTGTAAGTACTAACAAAGACTCTTCCGTTCAATCCTCTGCTCTTGAACACTGTTCTTGTTGGAAATGGATGTTAACAACTTTATTTTGAAAAAACCAGAGAAAATGTAGGTCTTCTTGGAACCACTCGTGTTGGAAGCCGCAGGGTTGTACAAATTTCAGCTGGTTTCATGATCTTCTTCTCGATATTAGGAAAATTTGGAGCTTTGTTTGCATCGATTCCATTTACTATCTTCGCTGCTGTATACTGTGTTTTTTTCGGTCTTGTTGGTGATTATCTTAATTTAACTCCAGTATCTTCTGTACTTTACAGTTTCGTCTTCCTTATCTATATGTGATTGTTAATCTACTGGTGTTTTCTCAGCTTCTATTGGGCTGTCTTTCCTGCAATTCACAAACATGAACTCGATGAGGAATCTTTTCATCACCGGTGTTGCCATGTTCCTTGGTTTGTCGATTCCCGAGTACTTTAGGGAATACACTGCAGGGGCTCTTCATGGTCCTGCTCATACCAAGGCTGGATGGGTAAGTTTTCATTTGTACTTGTATAAGCAATCATTTTTTATCATATCCTACTAGCAAATGTTTTTGTACATAGCTGTTGCCAACTTCCTTGGCGCATCTCATTTGTACTCTTCTGTTTTGTTTTCTTTTTCATATTTTTTGGAAACTGAAAACATAAACTTGTTTGGTATGTTATTTTCTGTTTGTATTTTTAGAAACAAAAAAAAGGTGTTTTCACTTATTTTAAAAATAAAATAAACTCCGGCTGACCGGCCGGTGGTGAACTCCGGTGATCTTCAATGACCTCTGGCCACCATCCTGCAATCGTCCAACCACACGCCACACCAACCCACCACTTTTAGCAACTCACCAAACAAGTTTTTTTACACCAAGCAAGTTTTTTGTTTTTGTTTTCTACAAAAAAAATAAAAAATAAAACATAAAAAAATATGAAGTTGTTTATGTAAATAGAAAAAAGAAAACTGATAACATTTTCAAACGACAATGTTTGTGGTACCACGTGATAACATTTTTGTTTCCATTTTCGGAGTACTTTTTTTGAGTACCTAGTATTGTTGTTTATATATTTGTGTTAGTACCCAAAACAAATTCCTACCTTAGATATACAATCGCATGATCTATAATTGTTGACATCACTTTCATGCTAATGTTTTGCAGTTCAATGATTTCCTAAATACCATCTTCCTATCCTCCCCAACTGTTGCATTGATTGTCGCCGTTTTCCTCGACAACACGCTTGAATACAAGGACAGTGCCAGAGACAGGGGAATGCCTTGGTGGGCCAAATTCAGGACATTCAAAGGAGACAGCCGGAATGAGGAGTTTTACCTCCTCCCTTTTAATCTCAACCGTTTCTTCCCTCCGTCTTAGTGTGTTAATGTTGGCGGAGACAAAATGTAAGTTCAAAATCATCATTCATTTCAGAGTGAGAGTTGGAATGGAGAGAGAGAGCGCTAGAGGAAAATCATCATTCAATTGGACTTATGATGATAAAAATCCCTCACAAAGAAGAGTGTGAGATGGAGATACATGCATTTTGACTCAAATAGTGAATGATGTCTTCGCTTTCTTTGTCACCACTTTTTGTTTTTTCCATTTTTACTATTCGTTAATTCTACATAATTTCAATCGAGTTATTATAGTTATTCAACGCATCCAATTCATTTATTTAGTTAAAACTTGTAACAAATGAGAAACAACTCAAAAAAATAAAAATAAAGAATCAACTACTCATCCTTATGGTTTATGGACAATAGCATGATTCAAAATTTTGCCATGTTGAATGCAATGATTTTCTGAGGTATTATTTACTGAATACAAAAGAATATGAGAAGGAAGATTAGAAATCAAAACACTAATGTGCTATTTACACATGCATTCTGGACACCTTGGTTGTCGATAAATGCTTTTTCCATAGCCCCTCATGTCTACATTTTGGCCTTTCTCTATCATCGTCCTTGTTCTCTTTTCGAAAGTGTCCCATGACATGGTGCTATTCTTGGACAAAATTGCTGCGAGCCACTTCTTGCTAGGCCTCAAGTTGGGAGCACGACCACCACCATAATAAGTTCTGAAACCCGACACTAGGGATGATAGTTGGCTCCCTGAGTCTGTTATGGCAAATACATTAGCGGTGGCACAGGCGATGAAGTCCAGTGCTGCTAGCTGCATCCACAATGATCTTCTTGTCATTAGTTTTTTGGTCTAAAAACTGATAATAAAAATCAATAGCGCTTAGTCACTTGTTTGGTTGAGTTTTCAAATTCTGTGAACATGGTGCTTCCAAACATAAAGACCTAACCCTGCTTGGGAAGTAGGCTTTTTTGGTTTTTTTTGGCTAAAATAGACAATAAAAACAAAATATCATTTCATTTTTTCTCCCACAACTATCAAATCAACTACTAAAAAAAAAAAGAGTCAACTATCATCCCAAACAGAACTTTACTAGCTAGGTTAAAATAGCCAAAAAGCCAACTAAAATAGCCAAGTTCCCAAACGGCTAATAGTTTTTGAATGTCTAATTTTAACTTGATTCCTAATGATAAATAATAGTTTGCTCAATCCTAAAATTGGCCTAGAAGGAATAATTAGGAGTTTAAGAATGTCAATTCATTGTCACATTATATGCATTCAAAGGAATATTGGCAAGAAAAAAAAAATGATCAAAGATGATTTACTATGATATAGCAAGCATCAAGCTAATTTTTGTTTACCTGAGAAGAAAAATTCCTAAATGGTGCAAGTTCGCTTGGTGAGAGAAGATCTTCCTTTGTAACCAAATTGGGATACAGACTAGTTAGGGGACTCATCCTGGACCGTCCCCCATATATCCGAGACCCAGCAAGATAGATGAACGTTCCATGCTTAAAACCGAGAGCAGCAAGAACAAGTGCTGCCTCTTCCGGCGTCAATGGACATCTACCCAACTTTCTTAATTCTGTTGGAGAAACAGGACTGCATCCACCATCTCAACATGATTAGTATAAAAAAAAACAAAAAAAAAAAAAACACCAAGATAACTAAGTAAAGTGCATACGTTGAGTTCTTCAAGCGGTCAATTAGAAGCGGAAAATGGGATTCTCTGTAAGCTTGGAGTTCCTTTCTCTCGTCTTCTCCACCTCCAAATTCACATTGAGAGTAGGCGACCATGTCAACTTCGAATCTCAAGTGCAAAGCAATATATTTGGATGGTCCACTAACAAGATCCTTCCCTTCCAAGGGAATATTTGAGATGAAGTTTCCAAGGAGTTGCTTGTCCAGCATACTCCGAGCAGCATCATTGTTTCTTATCCTCTTGATCAATAGTGAACCGGCATGTTTAATTTTGGGCACGAACTTTAGAGAGTGGAAGTTACATTTGCATCTTAATCTCTGCAATGAATTCATAAATATATTAGGGACTACCAACCTTTAATAACCAACTTTTATAGGCTTCTTTTTTTTTAATTATAAATTTTGTTTTTTTTTTTTGTCTTTAGTGAACTTTTTTTGAATTTTTTACATTTCAGTGTCATCTAATCTAGACAAACCTAAATAGTAAAAAAGTTGACATGTGTAATTTTTAAACAAAGTTCACTAAAGACAAAATCGAGTCAGCTTCTAAGTTGGTGTCACATGATCACAGGACTGATACAGGATTACCAACCTGTAGTTCAAATGGCAATGGATCAAAACCAAGTCGATTTCCATATCCAAGGAAGTGAACAACTCCATTCTTCAATAGGAGAGGAAGTACAGTTTTAAGGTAATCAGCAGGTGTAGCCTCCTTTGGAATATCAGCATCTGTAATCTGACTACCAATTGCTTTGAAGTCCAGTGATTTCAAATGAGACGGGAGCTCCTTTACAATATTTATGTCATCCTTCAAGCTATTCATGAAATGCTCTTCTTGATAGATATCACCAAACTGGCTGCATGCTCAACAAATAAGAAACAGTAAATCTTTTAGGGTCCTATGAAATTCAAAATTAAAAAAAAAAAAATGAAAATAACCTTTGCTAATGCTACTAAATTAAGCCGCTGAAAAAAGAAGCCAAAACTAATTTGCAGTCGAAAGATACACTATGGCTATAATATTGGACCTGGGATCCTTCCATACATTGCTGTAAAGAAATTTGGGAATAACTAATGTAGCATTAAGTAGAGATGCAACAGCAACTGCATTGCATACCTGCAGATAAAAAAGATTAACTAGATTAGTTGTGTTTATAAAAGAGATGGCTCAAAAAATAGCCAAGGGAGGCTCAAAGAATGTCAGACAGCATATTAATTCATGGCAAACAATGAATTCTTTAGGTTGTGTTTGGATCTCGGATTTATGGATGTAAAGGAAAACAGAAGGAAAAGTGAATGATACAATTGCAGCTTATTCACTTTTCCCTTCCCTTCCTTTTCCTTTCCCTCCACAAATTTCACTTTTTCCTTCCCTTTTTCTTTCCTTCTACAAATTCAAGATCCAAAAACAACCTTGAATTGAAGAATGTTACAATTGTTGAACTATCTAAATTTTCCATCTGACATGAAATGTCTTTGAATTTTCAATTTTCCTATTTACAGAATCTTGCTACATCCGATATAAGAAACAGAGGAATCACTGTTATGAAGGAATTACCAACTGTAAGTAGAATTATCAAGCTTTCTTTAATGTCAACTAGGCTGTTCAGGGTGAATGAAATATAGCAAAAGCATTGCACTCAGTTGATTGTAATTAGATTACAGAAGTTTTCCTAAGTCTGTGTTTGTATCTATGATTTGAGTAGGAATTTGTAAGGAAAAGGAAAGGAAATGTGACAAAAATTTAGCTTCTATTTCATTCACTTCTTCCTTCCTATTTCCTTTCCCTCTGCAAATCCTTGATCCAAGCACAACATAAAAGATGAATATGTGAAAATCCAGCTTAGAAACTTACAGCAACTCGCTGTTGATTTAGACCACCATTTGCGCTGACCAATATAAAACCGATGCTCTTCTTGGTTTTACCTGCCCCAACAACTTCAACTAATTACAATGCAGTTCACAGTTAATCATCTATGCCACCATTTTCAGTTACGTGACAGTTATAAGTAGAATAGAATAATTGAAAGTACTGATGCATCAACAAGGCTCAGTGAAATCCAAGAATACCTAGATTTGTTCGACTCTTTCTATTTGCACATGGTCTCCAGAGAGATGCCTGATGATTTTGTTCCTCCCAGAAATTTGATGAATCTTGCCGAAACTCCTTCTGTAGCGGAATGGTTTTGGTTAGTAACACTGAAAACACACACGCTCACACAAAGTGTCTATGAATGGATTGAACTGAGATAGTAATTAAACCTCTGCAAGAGCACTAGAAGCCAAATTCATAAGTCGGTCATACATCTGTACTGGTTTGTTTCCTTCATTAACAAAAGAAGTCCTAACCTCCTTCAGAAACACAAGCAACAAAAGTAACATTAGTTAGTTAGTATGGTCAATGATATATTTGAAGTAAAGCAACCATGCCCAAGAACCTCTTTAGATTATGACATTAGAACCAACAATTTATGGGTTTCATTCAGAAAAAAGTTCAAACACGAAATCAAATTAACACTATACAGATAGAACCAATACTGATTGTGTACAAATGCAGGGTAATCAAATCATGATAATCCAGGAAAAAATAAATTGAACGGTGGCCCTAAATTAGCAATGAAAAAAAAGAAATTAAAACCATAGACATACAGCATTCGTAAGGTTTGCTAGAATGACAGCTGATGGCTTAACTAATTGTATCAGAGTTGAAAATCTTCTAACTGCTTAACACGACAATGGTGAAAAAATCAAAAAGCTCAATGACCTAATTCCATTTCTCACATTTTGTGATTGAATCATATTTTTCAACTAAACATGAGCATGAATCCCATTTTCAAGTCTTTTCCTCCTTTTGTAAAAATAAAACTTGGTAGAGAACAACTTGAGGAACTGAACAGAACAACAGCAAATTTCAGCTATAAGCACTAATAAGCATATATTATGATCACAATATAGAGAACAAACATAGGAAGAATGAATTCTGTTATGAATATTGTCTTACACCCAGATAGGTTATTTCAAATTCAGACTTCTTTAGGCTGTGTTTGGATTTCTTGAGGGAAAAGAAAATTAAAGATTGCTTCTACTGCATTTCTCTTTTTCCTCCATAAACCCAAGATACAAACACAGACTAACTAATTGGCCAAGAGTCTACTACTCACATCTACAGCTTTTCAAGAACAGAACATAGAAAAATGCTCTTTTAAGTATCCTCCACAGAACACTGAACGAAGTCATACCTTTGGCTTGATTGATTTTCTCAAAGGTAAACTATTTGCGTGATCAAGAACAGAGACCACGAGAGAGTCCAAGAGGAAAAGAAAAACCATCAACCCAACAGTAAGAACCATTGATTGGAGGTGATTCCGAAACCATATATGCCTTTTCACACCACAGACACCCTTGCATGCACTCAATTTTGTAGGGACATTCCTCAACCCATGAAGCAAAGCATCTTTGTCCCATTTATAATCGACACTGCTCACTCTCCTCCCTACGAAAGCATCACCGCCTTGTTGGGTTTCCAAAGATCTACTCTGAGAGTCCTTTGCTCCAAATGATACCCCGAAATTCGTGTACTCGGGGCGTGGACTTCTCAAAGACCCTTGCTTCCCCATTAAACCATTTCAAGAATAGCTCTTGATTAGAGCTTTCAAGTACTCAAAATTGTCTCAACTCAACAACACCATTCCTTCGATGATCACACCAATACATAAAAAATTATTAACTGACGTGTATTTCTATGTATCTAGCCACCCATCATCAGCAATTCCTAGGTAAACTCTCTCTATCCCCAAAATACAAAGCTTTTAACTCCCCATTCAACAAACCCACCAACCAATTACCTGATTTACAGAAGAAAATTTTGTTGGGTCTCAAAGAATTGATGATTTGGATGAGATGGAAACATCTGAGTATGAATTGGAAGTGAAGTTAAAGAAGTTCGTGACAATGATATATATGAAAAACATATATATAGGTTTGAGTGAAGGATAAGCAATGTATGAGAACTCAAATTACAGTTTAAAAAGCTGACCTTGAATACACTAATACACAGGAGAAGAATCACATCTGCAAAAACTACTTGTCACCAAACAGAGAGAGAGAAAGAGAGAGAGAGCATTGGTGGGATTGATCTTTCTCTGGTTTTTTCATTGTTGAATTGAAAATTTTTAGGGTGCTGAGAAAGAGAATAGAAAATTCTGAGAATTTGACATGAGGAGAAGTGTGTGGAAGTGTTTGTGTGTAGAGAAAGTAACACAGAGAGAGAGAGAGAGAGAGGACTGTGACATTGGGTAGTTGGGGGGGCCTTCTAACTAACGCCTAACCGTTGAGCTCTCTCTCTCCGGAAATGGTGTATCCTTCTCTCTCATAGGTAATGGAGAAATTTTAATTGAGGAGTGTCCTAAATTATTTTTCATTAAATTTTAAACAAATGTATTTTTTTTTAAGAATGTCAAAAAAATATAATTATTTAGGCTTTATAAATTAATGTGTTCATGGTACTTCAGCAATATCAATAAAATCTTTTATTTTTATCTAATTGATTCAGCTAATGTATATTTTAATAATATTCTTTATAATTAATCATTCGAAGTAATTTAATTAACTTTCAAAAGAAATACTATGTTATATATACACGAAGTTTTCATGGCATGCCATGTAGGCATGGTTGTTGATGTACCATTTGTGCAGTAAGATTGTCTTATTAAAATTCTCTAATTATAATTAACCTTTGCAAACGTGATATAATATTTAATACATTGCCTAACTTGTTTGATTGATATAACTATGTAAAATACGTAACAAATATAATATAGAGTTTATTGGAATTGTCCTACCTTACCTCCAAAATAAAATAAAATAAAATAAAATAAAAATTGCTTCTCATAGTCCTTTTTTACTTTGGATTCTCTCGTTCTTTAGACCCTCACTCACTCTAAAATTACTCCAATCCTTTTTCCTTTGAACTATAAACTCAATATACTCTTTAACCTTCTTACTTCTATCACCCTTCTCTAGCCAGACCTACCTCCAATCCAACAACCCATTTCCTGCCACCCCCACTTCCAGCAACCCCATACTTTTAGCAGTCCGATTTTCTTCCTCTCATGCCACCACGTAACTCTCCATCTTCCTTCTCGATTGCCCCTACCATTTTCCTTCTCATTCCAACCACCGCAACCCTTCCCTCCACGAAACCCTAGCCACAAGCACTCCCGATAGCCTCGAATCCAAACTATCACTTCCCCATATCCCATTTGTAAAGAGAAAATTTGTGGAAGAAAATGTGACAGAGAGAGAGAGAGAGAGAGATCCTTGAAGGAAAGAAAGAGAGAAATTGCAAAAGGGCTGAAGGAAAGAAAAAGAAGATTGTAGGTCGTGATGGGAAACTGTGGGGTGGTAGGGGTTGCAAAGGTGAAGAGTTGCGAGAAAAAGCTGGAGAAGGTGGCATGGAGCAATAAGGGGTTAGTAGCAAAGGGGCTTGGTGGGGGCTGGGGGTGGCGGAGAGGCCCTGTGGGTAGGAATAGGGCAAGGGTAAAGGTTAATCTTAGATCAAGTTTGACATGTTCAGGAAAAGTCAAAAAGTCAAAAAGTTACTCAAAAAGTTAAAAAGTTAACACTATTCATCAAAAGTTAACAATTACGGCTACACAACTCCCAATCCTAATTTTCTCTTACAAATTAATTTTTATAATTTTTTATTACACATTTTTTCATAAAAAGTCAAAAAGTTAACTCAAAAATCTATATTTTCTTCTTTAATTTTTTAGTCTAAAAAGATAAAAAGTACACTTATTTAGGACATCTCAAAAAACCACTTAGAGTTAAGATTTTGGGAGGCTATAGGACAAAAATAGAGCAATGTTAGGAATTTTACTAAAATTTTTATCAACTTTTTTATATAAGCATAGGATTCACATAAAGTGAATTATATGTAATTTTCACACTTATATAAAATATTTGATAAAATTTTTAACATTTTTAATATTTTTATAATATAAAATAATATTTTAAAAACCAAATCAGGCCAGCCAATTCAACTGTAGACTAATCCATGGTTTGAATATACCCTCCAAAGCCGTTCAAGCTTTGAAACCAGCTGGTCGGGTGGTGTGTGCATATTTTAGTGCTCAAAAAAAAAGCTTGCAATATTGTCTCCTTAAGACAGATTCACAGTATTAAGAATAAATTCTGTTTGTGTACTCAAAGTGTATTCGTTGTATAGTTCCATACCTATTTTCACACTATTAAGAATAAATTCTGTTTGTGTACTCAATAACAAATAAAACACATAAGAAATAAATTAAAAGAAAGAGTTTTCAAAATCTGTTTAATTACATAAACTAAACAGAAAATGGAAATAGAGAAGGAGAAAATAAAATAAAATTAAGAACAGAAAATATTTTCTTAGAGTGATCAAGTCTAGTGTTTAACACTGTCTCCTTAAGACAGATTCGTCTTCTCTAGGGTGCTCACAGAATTTGGACGTCTATCTCCCAAGATGAAATGATCTTCAACAAATAGTAGCAGCACTATAAACTGTTTGCACAACGAATACACTTTGTGTTTTTACACTTTCTCTAAAAAAATTAAATGCAGCAAAATGCCGAGAGCAATGATAGCAACAAGAATGAAAATTAGAGTGCAAAATCCAAATGAGGGCCTGTCTATTTATAGGACAAATTTTGGCTTTTCAGATTTGAACCCAACAAGTAGAAAACCTGTTTGAACAGGTATGGTACCTGTGTTTGAATTTTGAATACATACTGAATCTGTTCGAATAGGTATGGAACTATACAAAAAATTTGAAGAGGTGCAAACCAAAATTTGAATTTATTCCAACCGAAATTTGAAATCAAAACTGGACAGATTTTGTTTTTCCAAAAAATAAAAATAAATATAAATTCAAATGTTTTTGGCCAAAAAGATAAGTGTTAGACTGGACAAGCCTAACCCAACCTCACACCACGCACCTACGCCTAAGCCTAGCCTAGCCTGCCCGACTGACCGAACGGACGACAATAGTGGCGCGCTTGTGTGTTTTTTTTAGATTCAATGGGTCTAACTCACTTTGCCCATAACCTCTTCCTCTACAAAACTTAAGTACTCCTTGGGGCTTACCCCCAAGTTCCAAACCCAAGCCTTATAAACCCACTCAAAGTTTAACCAATGTAGGACAAACCTTAACTCAAACTTTAACGGAAATTTCACCAAAAATATCATTTTCATGGAGCCCACTTTGGCTTCAATTCCCATTCACTTGATAATGGTTTTGAGCAACCAAATATACTACGTGAATCACAACGCGGCATAGAACGCGTTACCATTTAGACCTGCCGACTTTGGCGTATGGGTCCTACCTAAAAATTAGACCAAAGTTGAGGAAAAATCTATTTTTTCCAAAGTCATTTCTTACAATCCCCCACATGAATGGAATTTGATGACAATGGAAATGCAACAATATACAGAATTTGTCGAAAGAGTATAAATCGAAAATATCTTGCATCAAGATAGATAGCTTTTGGCCTTGAGCCTTCCCTAGTGATAACCTATCAGACTTACTAACTAACCAATGGACATGATGTATTGAATTGTTCAGCCGTTTGTGTAAACCAAGAAAATAGATTTCACACAAAATATTTTCTGACACATTGTGGTTCTCATAGTTGTGTTTATTTTGGCCTTGAACACTCCTTGTTATTCATGAGTGCTTCTAGAGAATTTAGCCTCTTCATTCTCATAGAACCGATCCTAGTTCGACACTCATATAGGTGATTCTTATTGTGAGTTTCTCTTATACTCATCTTGACTTTCATGCCTAAATCAAGATATAAGTAATCATTAAAAGCGTAGCTTATCTTTAAACCCCTGTATACAACACATGTTACAGATATCACTCTTACCATAGGAATAGGTAAGGAAATTTAATCCCACACCGATTTCTGGCGAGCCGCGCATAACTTAGTTGTCCCTTTGAACTATCTTACGGTATTATGTCGACGACGAATGTATCATGACTTACCATTATATATATGATTCTGTGCCCTGCCTATTATAGATTGACTATCACAATGAATGCAAATAGTTGGCACATGTTTTGGTCACATTGGAATGTCTTCTAAGAAGTGGCGAAGCCATTCTGCTTCTTCTCCTGCTTTGTCTAAAGCAATGAATTCAGATTTCATTATAGATCGTGCGATGCATGTTTGTTTCATAGATTCTCAAGAAACCGCAGCGCCTCCCAGAGAAAAGGCATATCCACTAGTGGATTTTGAACCTTAAGTATCCAATATCCAATTGGCATCACAATAACCTTCTAGTACTGCAGGATATCGAGTAAAGTTCAAACCATGATCATAGGTAAATCTTAGATATCTAAGAACCCAAATGATCGCTTTTCAATGGTCTTCTCCGGGTTACTAGTGTACCTACTCAATTTACTAATAGCATAAGCTATATCAAGATGAGTGCAATTCATTAGGTTCACTAGGCTTCCAATGATTTTGGAGTATTTTAGCTGAGACATTGCATCACCTTTATTTTTTGATAAATAAAGACTGGTGTCTACAGGTGTTTTTGCTATATTCATATCATCCTTGATATATTTACCAAGAATTTTCGCAATATAATGAGATTGAGATAATGTATATCCATCATATGTTTTAGTAATTTTTATTCCTAATATAACATCTGCAACCCCCATATCTTTCACATCAAATCTTTTGTTCAACATTTGCTTAGTTGATTTGATCATGTTTTGATTGCTTCTAATAATAAGCATGTCATCTACATAAAGACAAACGATAACATAACCTTTGTTAGTGTTTTTAACATAGACGCACTTGTCACTGTAGACACCTCATTTTTGACCGCCCTTAAGACTTGGGCGCTACTGATCATTTACTTGGTGATGAAAGTTGTGCAGTGCAAAGGGTGATTTCTTCGGCAAGGAAAGAGTCAATCAACTTCATACCCCTTTTTGGACCAAAATGATCTT